AAAATACTAGTATGATTGCATAATCTCGATTTTTAAATAATGTTTGATGCTTGTTTTGAAAACATTTATTGTTAATTCAGGCTCTTGGGTTTTTAGGGTTAAAATTTACACGTGGGCTTTGTTGGTTAAATTGAACAATGCACACATGGTTATAGTGTTTGATGATGATGATTAAAGTTCTAATATTTTGATTAAAATTACAATCTTTTACATTTTTGGTATTTGGTGTGTTCTTAATGAACTCTGCACACATACTTTGCATTATGGACTATGCAGTGTGATTTGTCGATAATGATTTATTTGTGTCTGGTATTGATTTTAGTGCCATGGGTATTAAGATATTAAGATAATATTGCATCATGGAGGGAGTTTTATGTAGTCACCAAGGTGAAGATATTGTGGTGGGAAGACAGATTGTTTTATGTTGATGAAGAAACATTGAGCTGGGAAGTATTGTTTGAAAAATTGGGTACCCACATGTGAGATTGTGTTTTAAAGAGCCCTTTAGCACAATTAATGGAGGGTTAAGACTAGTTTACCCTAATGCAACCTGTCCTCCTATTGACACTCCAAATGAAACTGGTATGAAATTTATGGATCTATTTATTGAGCATAAGAATGAAACATAATGAACATGTGTGTTCATTATGTTTGTTAGCATGAATTTGTAAGGTTAGAATAGATTTATGCAAACCCAATGATACCTGTAAATGAAATAGAAAACTTAATGTATCCACAAATAAAATTGAATTTTGATCTCATCATTAACTTGTGCCACAGATTTAGCTTCTTAATTACTTGCAGAGACATATACCTGTGGTACATCTACATTATGCTGCAAGTTACAGGATATGTAGAAATATATGCGTGAGAGTTTTAAGTATTTGAAACCCCCACCCAAAAAAAAAAACCCTCTTCCGCGTGTCTGTATATGTGCATGTTTTTGTGTGTTTAATGTGAATTCGATGCATCTTCTTTGTCAAAATGTATTATGTGAACATGGCTGTCAAATGCTACCTTGTTCTTACGAAAGACGAGGACTTCAATATCCAACCTTGCCAAAAGCCACTTTACAGGAATATACTATCTCCAATGCACCAAATGCATCTGATGCTTGTCATGGATACAGGAAGTAAAAACAGCATGATACATGTACGCAATCATATCATGTGTATGACACCCAGTAGCATTTTAGATGTGTCTGCTCATTAAAGTTGTATAGTGTCAATGTGTAAGATGTAACAGCATATAATTGTTAAAAGAGCATAATATTTAGGATGTAATGTGATAGTTTTGTTATGCATAACAATAATAATTAAATGTATGTTTTATTCAACTTGCAGATGTCTAAAAACATTAACAGGAGGTTATTCGAAGCTAACCCCATTCAAGACCAATCCACTGAGGAAGAGCCACCGAGTTCAGGAGAGATGTCAGGTATAACTTCACAATCGGGTTTTCTACGCTCACCCGAATAACGTTTACAACCACACTATGTCGGTTTTCAACGCTCACCGAACAACGTTCACTCCTCACACTCGGTTTTCTAGTTCACCGAAAACTTCACAACACACTCGGTTTCTAGCTCACCGAAAACCTAACAATCTCACAATGTAACAAATATAAATTGTTCTCTAATATGGATGAGAACACAATAAAAGCCCACACTCAATGTTACAACTCTCACAACCCTAATATATTATGAATGCAAATACAATAAGCTCAAGTGGGTGTGTGTAAACAATGAGTGAAATCAAAATCAAAACTAAACTCAATTAAAATCTAGCATATAGAAATTATAAACAAAATAATAAATAGCTAGAAATGAGTTTAGAGATTCTTCTCTGAATAACAAGATGGAGAGATGGAGATTGAAGCCCAAACAAGAAGATGATCTCCTCCACTTGTGAAAACTTCTTCATAAACCAAAACAAACACTAACACACTTAAACCCTTGTTTAAAACTCTTTAAACTTGTTTAAAACATTTCTTAAGTGCCCTTAGAAGTATGAGGGCATGAAGTATATATAGGCTCATGAAACAAGCCCAAAAAACCCAAGAAAACCAAGCAAAAAGACAAAATAACGGATATATATAAATCTGGAAAATATAGCCGTTAGCTACAGTAACCAACCTCCAGAGACATTTCCGGTCGACCGGTCCGGTCGACCGGAGTTACTATAGCAGTGCGCAGCTGTTTTGTACAATCAATTTAAAATAGTAAATTAACTCCAAAAATTATGAAATTTTGTAGGAATGTTCTAGACATGTAGAATAACATGCCAGAGAAAGGATTTCTGAAAAATATTTTCCCAGTTGAGAGAAATAAATATTTGAACACAAATTTACAGTTTCTGAAAAACTGTTAACATATACGATTTTGTAAAATCAATTAGGCACAGTAAATCAACTCCAAAAATAGTAAAATTTTGAGGGAAGTTTCTAAACATGTAGATAAACATGTCAGAGAAATAATTTTTCAAATATCACTTCCCATTTGCGAAAACTCATCTGTTTTGTAAAACATGCACGAACATGCACGAACGAAAAACATGATTTTGTAAATTCCATTAAACATAACAAATCAATTCTAAACTTGATGAAACTTTGCGAAATGTTTGTAAACATGAAAACAAACATGTTAGAAAAAGAATTTCTCAAATTGAATTTCCATTTGTGAAAACTCATGTATTTTGCAAGTGTGTCCAAAGCATGAAACTCAAAACCAAGCATGTATATATATAACTATATATATACATAGAAACCAAATACGTGTGTGTATATGATATTGAGCTTAAGGTACTTAACACACATAATATAAAATCTAAACTAGATTACCCAAGCTTGATCTTGATCTTCATTGTAGCTCAACTTGGTACACATGCGGATGAAGCTTGAACTTGATCTTTAACTTTGAATTGCAAGGATTCCGCTAACCTCCATTGGATATGATCGTTGAAGCTCTATTCCATCCATCCTCCAACAACGTTGTTTGTCTACAATAAATACGAAAACACAAATACTAGACAATCAACATTAGTGGTAAATTGTTTGTTAAACATCATCAAAACAAGAAGGCCAACATAACTTAGTTTAACTTAAGTATTTTTAATTCATGATATATGCACAATGATAATTTATTTCTTTTATTTTTTTAGGTGAGGGTGAGGAAGAGCCGACTCCCGTACCATTATATGCAGATTCTCATGTGGTACTTCGAGCATATATTCCCGGGATTGAGCGCGGGCCTTTACCAGCATGTGCAGAGGGGTACAGACTCAAGCAGACAGAAAAATACATGCTTGCAAAAAAACGATTAGATGAATGGGGCCCACAGATTGATGAGATTTTATCTGATGCAAAAAATGAAATCAGACAACGATTTGGTGAGTTAGATCTCAGATTTTCATTCCGAGTCTATTATTCACATATAGGTTTTTAGCAGACAGAAAAATGCAATTTGATCCTCGCATATTATTCACATATTAAATTCTAAGAGCTTAAGATTGATTAAATAAAAGTGTTGATATATCTATTATTTTTTTCTTTGTAGGAGAAAAACTTTACCAGAAAAAAGGACGCCAAGGAAGTGATTTTAAAAAAAAGTTACCACCGGATGGTTTTCGAGCAATTGTGAGATGGGGACATAATGGAATTCCAACCTTTAAAAAAAAGTTACCACCGGATGGTTTTCGAGCAATTGTGAGATGGGGACATAATGGAATTCCAACCGGACAATGGGCTAATAACTTTAGCTCATACCTTGGATGCTTGATACGGAGGAGTGATAATGTGAATCCTTATTATGAGGCTGAGGAGCAGCCATTTCATGTCCTAGAGAGTATATATCGAGATTGTTGGGTAAATTCTTCTATTTAGCACAATTATTTTTCAATTCTGTCAATTGTCCATGCTTAACTATATTTTAATTTTTAGAGATATTTCAACATCGAAGACAATCCCGTAGGGTGGGAATTTTTATTTGGATACATGGGAAAGTTCAAGCATTCTCTTCGGGAGTGGAGACATGAGGTAAAAAAGAAATGCGTTGATTGTTTTACTCACAACTGGGAGAGGATATACAAGCGAGATAAGAGGGTTGAGCATGAGCACTTAGCTGCACTTATAGTATTGTGGGGCCAAGAGGAGCACCAGGTAAATATGTATAATAGTTAATTATCACCAAGTTATTTATCTGAAACTAGTGATATATTTTATTGTATATTATAACTTGTACTAAAATTTTCTTTGTTCATGTTGAAGAAAAAATGTCGGAGAAATAAACTAAATCGATGGAAGAAAGATTATGATCATCATACGGGGACTACTTCATTTGCCCAGATTGAGGATCAATTTTGTAGGACAACGGTATAAAGTCTTTTAATCTTCTACATATATTCTCTCCGTTTCCTAGAATATTTGATAAATAAAACTAATAAATATATTTTTAAATCTCAGAACGCTCCCTTTATTCCGCTACCAGAACTGCACAGGAGGACGATGGTTCAATTTAAGAAGGGATATGATGACGATGAGAATAAGAAACAAAAGCTAGAATTGGCCAAGAAAATGCAGGTTAACTAATTATATTAGCTCTTATTAGCCTGTTCTTTTGTTGGGAATTTATTGTTTGCACTCTTCTTTTGGTCATCTTAATTATCATACATGAATTATATGTGTACTTTTATGTAGTACTTTTATGTTGCACAAAACACCCTTCAACCATTTATTAGCACTTAGCCTCCTCAATTGTGGAACTACTTTATTTTTTTGAAAGGTCAATTCTTAAATTTATTTTTTTTGTCTTTTAGGAAGCTCTGGAAAACACATATTCTGAGGTTGTTGCACAGAGCCAGGAGCCCCTGACTAGAGAGCAGAATTATAATGTGAGCCATTTAGTTTGTGGACTTCCTAAAAAGGGGAGGACCAGATGGATGGGAGTTGGAGCTCAGAGGGTGTCTACACAATTCCAGCCTCCGCAGATTTCAACACCATCGACTATGCCCTCGGGGCCCTCTTACATGCCGCAGGAGGATTGCACTCAACAGGCGATGCAGCTTGTTTCCTCTGTGATGAATATGTTAGATGGTCAGATTCCCGAGGAGATGTGGGAGGATATTCAAGAGGAGCTTATGCGAGTGATCCAGCCTACTGCTACTTTTGCGATGGTTTCTAGGCAAATAATGAAATCTTGTAGAAGGCGGGTTCCTACTCGGGTGCAAAGCCAGATTATGAACTTCTTGGCCACTCAAAAGGCATTTACTGGTAGTGGAGAGAGTAGCAGACAGGTATACTTATTATATATGTAAAACATGATTACACACAATATTATGTGATTCTAAATTTAAATTATTTTGTTGTTAGATTGGAGATGATACTATTGGGAGCACGAGTCGTAGGGATGGATCCGCCAGTGGAAACGCGGACGATGACATGGATAGAGCGGATGACCTATCATAGCTTATAATATGCGTGTATGGTTTGTTGTGGAAATTTTTGTGGATTTAGAACTTATAATATGCGTGTATGGTTTGTTGTAGAAGTTTTTGTGGATTTAGAACTTATGATATACGTGTATGGTTTGTTGTGGAAATTTTTGTGGATTTAGAACTTATCGTGAAAATTGAATGTACATATTTTGAATGTTTGTGAAAATTGATTGGATGAGAGACAATGTCAAAAGTTGGATTGTATATATTTCGAGATGTGCAAGAAATATCGTTTGGAGATTTGTATGTACAGGGCACTGGTTATAGCAGCAAGAAATATCGTTTGGAGATTTACAGGGCACTGATGATTATAGCAGCAGAATTTTTTTTTGCTGTAAATGCCTATCGCTGACGGGAATCCCGTCAGCGATGAACATCGCTGACGGTATTCCCGTCAGCGATGTATAAACATCGCTGATGGGAAACCCGTCAGCGATGTTTTATTAACACTGACGGCGATTGCCGTCAATATTGTTGCCGTCAGTAATAGTCATTACTGACGGCTCCCCGTCAGGGATGTTTCATCCCTGACGGGATTTTTTCTGACGGCGTATCCTTGACGGGACGCCGTCAAGGATACGCATCCCTGACGGGAAATTTAACATCCCTGACGGGAAAGCCCGTCAAGGATGCCCATTTTTCCACTAGTGAATATTGACCATTGAAAATTAGAATTTGATTATAGATAAGGTAGTTCAAACTATAAAGGAGTATATTTGTCTAAAAAAGATTTTCCGAACTCGTGCTTTTAAAGGGAGTATGATTTGATCTTTAACTTGCATTTAAATTCAAAATTGAAAACTATTCATTTATAAATATGTTGTAGTAGAGATCTGTAATTTGAATATTTGGTTAATGAGACGAACAATCAATGAGCTATTTGTTAATTATTTAGTTCGTTTCCACTCATAATTCGTGTGCCCAAGATTTTTCATTTATAACCTGAAAATAAAGCATAAATAAAAAAATTAAAGGATTTATAAAAATATAGCAGAGATAAGTTATTCCAGTACTGGATTGTCGATGAGAAAATAAAATGTAAAATCAAAATCCTTAGAATGAGATGCATCCAATAAACAACTCTAAAACAAGATGATTAAAGAGAATTTGCGCACAGGTTGAAGTAGGCAATAACCTGTTATAGTTGAGTCCATAATATCTGAGAGAAACTAGTAAAAAGCAAAAGCAAACACTCTGCCTAAATCAATAACATATAAGAATTTGGTGAAATGAAGTCTTCTAGAAAGGTGAACATGTCCAAAGCACCATGATGACATCCCCAATTTATATAATAATATAAAGCATGTTTCATGCTCATCTCACCATCGAGACTTGTAAAATCTGGCTGCTTGTGGCAATTTAAGTCATTCACTAGAATCTAGAATAAACTATTGGATTGGTTAGTTATCAACCTTACCTTGATAAACAGAACCCTATTCCATTAAAAGTATAAGAAAAAGAACATCAGCGCCAAAATTGAGCCAATTATGATTTTATACAAGGGTCTAACTTTGGATCAAATAAAATCGTCAACAAATATAGTTTTAATTTAATTATTTTGGTTCCGACTATGTTTAATCTATATCTCACTACTCTCTTATGGACTAGAGATGTTATCGACCATACTCACCACAAAATTTCCACAAAATAATTTTCTTGTTGGCCCCATCAAAGGTTTCCACGCTCGCATGCAATGTTTTGTAGGCGCATTGCGTTACTATCACAAAAGTAGCTTTCACCGCTTCCTTGATGCGTTTGATTTGTTATGGGTAATTTTGGATATTGATTCCATTAAGCCCGTCTCTTTCTTGATGGACTCATTTAATATGCGGTTCCTTTTCACTCTACATTGTAGCCAAATCGCCACAACCCAAGTCCATGAAGTTGTCCACGGAAAACGACTTTCGGATCAATCAGTGTCTCGTCCATTTAGAGTTCACTCGTGGTTCTGAAGAGTTTGAATCTTATCAGAACTGTCTGCATGAGAGTGAACATTTATCATGTACGCGGAGCAAAATATGGAGACAGAACTAGAACTCGCTCCTCCATCGTATAGATAGAACTGCTCGTTGCATGCAGATGATTTTTAGAGGAACTTATTACATAATACAGTCCAAAACCGATAGAATGAAGATTACGCATCAAATAGAAACAAAAATAATAACACAAACAAAGGGGTGAAAGTCGGTGCAAATAAATCACAAACTGAGCAATGTAACAACAGAACATTTATTATAAACTATGGCGATAAGGTACAAATCCATTACTCAATCACTGCAGTACAACCCATCTTAATTTCCTAATCAAAGAATTTGAGCAACAAACACAAGAGAAAACGGATTGTAAATTACCTCTTTTAAAGTAAAAAAAAAAAATGTCACCAATCTCAACGTAACCTCTGGTGAGGATTTGCCAACAACAATTTTTACATAGATGAGGTACAATGAAAGAAAAATACAAATACATACATATGCTTAACATAATTAATTCAATAGTCAGAATTTGATGGTTTATTCCGAGAGCTAATCAATTCCCACACGGAATAGACTTCTTTGCACCATTTCCCCAAAAAGAGGGGAATACAACTGAAAGTTAGTTGGACTTGACTTGTCCTTATCAAAACAACTACTAAATTATAGTATCAATCAATCAAACATCTAATGACATGTTAAACTTATCTCATTAACCACATCAAGGTTCTTTTGGCCGAAGACTCAAGACTTGCACCTAGAATACTCTCCATCTTGTCGTCCAGAGCTAATTTAGAAAGAAAAGGCTACCATAAACTCACTTTCTTGTTGTCAAATACTAGAAGAAGAATTTGAATCCTTCCAGCTTCTTGTTGGAATGCTGATTTTGTCCAGTAAAAACGCGTTCGAAATGAACCAGAAGGTTGCCATTATTGCACAATCTAGAACACTATAATATATCCAAATATAATTAACATCATTAGTTATCATGAACTGCATGTACCTAATTACATTCTCTCCCCCAAAAGATAAATTATAACGGTTTGATGGGTATAAAGTGGCGACTCATTTTACTAAATAAGTTGCATGGCTACGTCTTGATAGCTCATTTAGCAAAATGAACCGCCACGTCATGCCCATTATTTCCAAACTGTTATCATCTACTAAGTAGCCGAAATTTTGATCGAAGAGAATTTGGACTTGCACACGAAACACCCCCAAGATTTTTGAAACAGGTGGTCTGTGTCTAAATTGCACTAGAAGCCATGCATCAGGGATTGATTGTGGACAGAAAAAGTCATGTTAGCAGTTTTTCTTTCCAAGGCTTCCAAAATTCCAATAGCTTCTAGAACTATTTATAGAAAAGATTTAGGCCTTACATGTCACCTTGTTTGTCTTTAAGCCTACAGCCTCCAGCGATGGAGTAACTTTGTTTGAGCGTCAACCTCATATCAACGCCTGATCAAAATACCACTAGCGTTTGACTATAACACGTAAGCACCCCCAACATTAACAAATTTTCAAGAAAAAAGAGTGAGATATATTACACAGTGAGGAAATGCTTTTTATCCAGCCAGCCTCTTCCTTTTGTGTGCTTTCTTCAAGAGGAGATCACAACTCAAAAGCAAGATTCCAAAAGAGACGAGACGTTTTTAATTTTGAAGAAAAAGGCAATAGGGATCCCAATAACTCTGTCCCCCTATAGTCATCAATAATAACTTAATTGAGCTTCTAGAACCTTTAATTTTGAAGAGGACATTGCCCATATACGTGTCTCCTTGCCTCTGGCAATGGGGTAACTTTGTTGAGCGACAACTTTATATGCATTATGCATATTGTTTGATCTTAATTGGAGAATAATCAGGTCCCTAGAAAAGTTCAACCAAAAAAAATCTATTCAAGTTGATTCTAATTTCAATGGTTTGTGGACGCACACTGAATTATCAACAGAGCAACTATTTGGAATCGATAAAGTATGTGACTTGTGACTTGTGACGAATAAATTAATAAATTCGAATCATATCACAATCACTAGGAGGACTACTTCATTTACGAACAAACTAAACTGACAATAAAAAAAAAACAAAAAGAGAAAAAAAAAAAAGTAGTATCTATACATAGTTCATCTACTCGTACGGCCGTATATGACTCTAGAAGCCAAAAACATAAAGGGACCTTCTTGCAGAACACTGTTAAGAGCATACGTACAAATAATTAAATACGAGTAGGTAAAATGTTCCCCCTAAACAAATAAATAAATAATATAACGACTTATCGGCCGCCATTGTCTTCTTTCAGATTAGTTATCGGACGGCCACAGGTGGCTGGTAATTAAGCCACCAAGTAATCAATCTGAACGGTACAAATCATTCTAAATTTGTAGAGCATCTAGTAGTTGTGTGTTCCTAATTATTATAAGCGAGCTAATGAAGAGGATTAAGTCGATCGGTGTCATTTCACTGAAAACCCCGCGCTAATTATGGAATTAGTCCATTGTTTAGATAAGGAATCAAACCTTCAACTGGGTCATGTGCAAGATTCGCTTTCAAGATTGATAGGTTCACGACTTCACGTCAACTGCTCCTGAAGCATCTATCATCTCCTCCACGTATTTGAAAATAACTTCAAAACAAATATTCTAAATTATGTCAAATTAATTCTTCTAGAAGAGGTGAAAACCGGAAGGAAATAATTTGTGCGAGAAATTCTCAGGGTGCTAGTCAACTAGAATTGGAATTGCGGCAACTTGTTTTAAGTTGTTTGTCGATAAGAATTTTATGCAAGAACTTTCTAACAGTTGGTCTCACGATGCTCAAATGGAGTTATCTCCCCGTAATTTTATATAAGATCCCTCATATTTCAATGGTGTTACAAAAAGACCCTCGAACCGAGACAAATCTTTAAGTCTTGAAGTTGTTTGTCGATTAAGACTAATACAAAAACTTTCTTATTAAACGGAGTCATCTCTCGGGGCATACACGTGCTAATAAAAAAATAAGAG